TTTTTCTTTTAATTCTTTCATATGAAATTAATACGTCAAGCAAACCATTTTTTGCGTATCTCTGATTTTAAAGAAATACAAAAATTATACTAAAAGTACTTAACTGTATGTGCGCAAGAAGTATTTTTTTATGCTTACGGTTTTTTTTATTGTACCTGAAAAGTTTTTTTCTTTTTTTTCGAGTAAAATTTAAATCTTCGAAATGATTGTACGTATTTCCGTTGGTTTTTACCGCCTGTGTATCAGAAAATGATCATAATCTGAATCGAAAATAAATTCTTTGCCGACTTTCGCACGCTTTTTTTTTTCGCCTGACTTATATCACATTATTTTAACGAACATTTTTCTTCTCTGATTTATTTTCCTATTTTTGTGTCATTTTTTTTTTTTAATTATTAATAATTGGTTATTCAAATTTCCGTTTGCATTATACTCTTTTTTTTCTGGCTATTTTTTTTTTTTTTTTGAGAAAACCTGAGAAAAAAAATTAAAAATATAAAACGAAGAACGACGAAATTTTACAATGATTTCCCCCTCCTTCACCAGACGCGGGTAAACTTTTTCATATGTAAAAAAAAAAAAAAAAAAAATAAAATAAAAATAAATTTATTTTTCTCTTTTCAATTTCCTTTTTTTTTTTAATTTTCTTTTTTTTTTCCTTTTTTTTTCTTTTTTTTTTTTTTCAAACTTGCATTTTAAACAAACGTTTCGTCATATTTGTCTTTTTGGTGATATCGTTGTCATTGTAATCATAAACATTTGATATTATCCAACGTTCTTTTACGATTCCTGTCCATGTATACAATTCCAGTGCGGTTATCCTTATGAAAACACTTCAGCATTTATACAATGTATGTGAATATGCATACAGCATAGATATCTCCCATGTTTGAATGGACGTCTGTATGCGAGCGTATCGAAGATGTCGTTTGACTGGCGGCCTATCTATGCAGTTAGTGTGTGCGTGTGCATGTGTATCGGTGCGCGTGTGTTTTTTACAAATGGGAAACTTGTGTAAGCCTTCCAGGTGTGTGAAGTTTCAAAAAATATCGAGAGACGAACATTGCTTATTCCGATTCGTAAACAACAGCCGGCAAATCAAGAAGGATACTAAAGAAAGAGAGACGGGATCATTGTTTTGTAGCAGGATTGTTGCTGTTGTTGTTCTGTACCAATATTCGTAATTGGTTAGTGCTACTAACCCTAATGAGGGTTGTTGTTAGTCGTAGTGTTTCATTGATATAATTCTACCAGTAGTGTTGGCAACTTTGAAACGGTTAGATAGACTCAGCAATCTGGTCCGATAGCGAATTAACTAACGAAACAAGGACACACAAACACGGAGGCTGACAGACACACACTCTCTACAGTCAGGCATTAACCTCGATACAGAAATAATATATATATATATATATATATATATATATATATATATATAAGACACAAAATCAAAAAATACAACTGCGGTTTGGTATATGATCTTACTGTAAGTGATACTGTCTACATGCGTTTTACCGAGCACGTGTTATAGTGTGTGTACCCGTTTACGAGTGACCTTATTAACACTTATTTACGAACACACATCTTACACAAGTATTCAACTGAACATAGAAGCATTGTTAAATTAATTTTTACATACATAGGTGTGTACAAAGATAAATATATATACATATCCGGATATAACTCATCTGGTGTTTTCAAAAATACGTTAGAAGATGCAAGCTTGGCGTAAAATCTCTTTTCTACGTGTGGACTTTTCAGATCATAGACTTGCGTTGAGTTTCCATGCGTCTAGATTTCTACGAGATCTTATTCTTAGTAAACATGCGTTTATTCATCTAAAACCTCGATCTCACCTTAAGGCTTTAATGGATGCGTTAACACCTGAATGAATGTAACTTGTTTTTATATATATATATATATTTGTCAATTGAAACGGATTCGTGAATCCTAGGTACGTATATTTGCGTGTTTTCTCATATATTTTTTTAAATAATACATCCCTACATTTATGAAGCAGGGTATCTATGTGTAGACATCAGCATACGTCCCTGTCTTTTTTGGGTTATAAATAGATTTGTATGCATGTGTGACTTAATAAAAATATATCACGTATAGGTATAGATAACATTTCCTACCTCTTTATACAATTCTGTAAATTTTGATTAGGCTAATATCTACAGGAAATGTATTTGTTTTTAGATGTTAATGTGTGTTCGTTTACAAAAACGGATATTTAAATTCAAGCCTCATAATTTTCGGTGTTAACGGTTCAGAAAAGTATGCATGGATGGCTACGGATATGAATGAATATCTTGTTCATGCTTCAACATGTTATTTTTTTACTTCAATATGCGAAAAATATATCTATATCATTTGTAATTTTCTCATCAAGTGCCTCTTTGTATAACCTTATTCATATCTTTGTACTAACTCGCACACAAAAACCTATAAAGATACATTGGTATATATACAATCTCTGTTCTGTCATTATAAGTGT